CGCACGCTATTCCTAGGTTGCCGGTCCCGAACAGATAATGTGATTCTTTCATAGTTTGATCTTCGAGCATATCTGGACTCCATCAAAACTTTCATACAAACGAAAATGATATATTATATTTCAGTAATTTTGAGATAACGACATTTTGCATACGTCTTGAAAATAGTACTAACTAATAATATAAAAACATTTATCAATAGAGAAAGGTGATGAATCTCACTGTATTCATAGAAATACACTACCGGGAAAGTCCCCACATCACGAGGACTATTCAACCAATCACAGACTAGATAAGACGTAACACTTCTATATTTAGAAGGCATTACATGTTGCATAAAAGCAGGCTACATTGCGAGATTGCGTTCTTTTGCTTTTTAATGTCTTAGGACAGCAGTTTTGTGAAATTCTCTACTAAAACACTTAAATCATCGTCAAGAGATCAAGATCTATTTGTGGTACTGTGCTTACAGACAACAAATACTTTCAATAGCCTATAAACACTGAAGACTCGAGGTAAATCAAACATTAACAGACTAACCAACTGTAACTTTATTTAGCAAGATTTAGTTCATAACTGACAGTCATGGGACCAAGTAGAAACTTGCAAACTAGAAACACAAAGCGATCAAAATAATTAATTCGAACACTTACTATTGATTCAAGATTAGAGTTACAGTATATATGAATATGAGCTTCAAACTGGAAGTATGAAAAGATTTCACTTTCATACAATTCATTGTTAGTAAAGACGACCATTTGACGACTGTAGTTCTGTCTTCATCAGCTTTTAGATTAACATAAAATATTTCAAGCCAAAGAGAGTCAAAGCTACGAAAAAAATATTTAACGTTAATTAACAATTAAATGTTGAAACTTTGGATTCGTTGGTTACACTTACCTAGCAAAGCCATAGAGGAGCCAAACGTGATCATTGCTTTTAGGTTATGCTTGTCACATGATTGCAAGGGTGCGTTTTCAGTTTTAGTTTCCAACGTTTTATGATATCAGTTCTGTGCCATTTTCTACGAAATCACACCCATTCTTGAGAGAATTACATTCTAATTCACTGCGTCAAACGAATGTAAAATATTTTCCGTTTAAATTCCGAGTAAATAGAGAACAACAAGATAGATTATTGGTTAAGTTCGCTGCGGAAGCAGACCCACTCACTTTATTCCGATTGAATACTAAAGCTTAACAT